CCTACGTCACACGAATGGGACCGTTCTCAATAATTACATTTTCACAATCACTGGATTTATTTCTCTAGCGAGTGTCTAGTTGACGGACACCGGCGAACTGTGTGATATAACACTTCCAATCACAATATCACCTGTACTCACTCTACTGGTGTGCCATTTTACAGCCGCATCAAGCAATCTGGATAATTTTGCTCACTCCACGTGGGCCAGTTTATAAGAAAACATAACTGCAGAGTAAGGGCACAAGAGATAGGTATGCTAGATGGTATTCCTTTGCATACACACCTGTCTTACTTGCATTTCGTCGCTGGACATTGCAGACAACGTGCAGTTACCGCTCAACAGCGTCAACACCAGCCACTGACAGTCACTCTCTCTGAGCTCCTGACAGTCCTGTAGACATATTCGAAACTATTCGTGTCATTCCGGCAATAGGTCACGGAATAACACGAGTTGGTCACGAATGGCGCGAAATATTAGACTAGGCTCCTGTCTACACAAACAAGAGAGAGCATTGTGCTGCGTGCCGACAGTGCAACCAGTTTTAAAAATGTGCGCAAACAAAATTCGGTCGTCGACGACCAACAGTTCCACATACAGGAAACGGTAATCGTTGAAAACAGCAAAACAAAATTCATTTCAATATACCAAAACGCACCCAAGAATGTTTGGTAAACACAACTTTTGTTCGGAACTGGCCGTAACCACAACAAACATCAACTATTTTAGTGTTTCAAAATCCATTGTTTTATACGTCCAATCTAGATGTAACATACAGTATAATAAAACTTCATGTTTTTATTTTGTCACTAGCTTGACAACGACATTAGAATCTACGTCGAAACGTCGCCTCCACAGAATAAAAGAAGTTGTATATCCATAATAATTGTCATTATTCTTTGTGTTGCCATTGCAACTTGCAATAGTTCAGGATGCATAGTGTTGGTGAGTTTTGAGGTTAAAATCCTCACCACAATATGGTCTTTTCAAGCTGGCAAAGCTGGATTCCAAGCTGAGTGCCAAAGATCGGGGGTTCGAATCCCATATTCGTCCTCAGTATGTATCAAGGTGTGTCAGCCCCGTGAGCTTTAGTGATCGTTTTTACTGCATCCGTTTGTGTCACCTCGGGTTGATATAATTTCTATACACATGTGACTTAATCGCGCTGTTCAGGGTGGCGTTAGACGCATCTCACTATCTCCTAAAATACCCAAGTATAGTCTGAATGGTTTTTTTGTGGTTTTGTTATGAGAAACCTTGAAGTGACTATCAAAAATATTTATCTGACAAAGCCCTTCTGTATATCAATCTTTCTCTATATATTATGTTACATGTGTTGAGATTGTCAGTGATTAACCCTACTGCTTACTAGGGCTGTGTATTGGCAAAAAACTTGTATTGCAATATATCGCGATTGAGGTGCCCGTGTTCATTCAAGCTGTGTGCGTGTTCATGAACTTTAGTTATATTTTTGTTGGTTTCTGGGTGATAATTTGTTGCTCATGTTCTCTAATTTAAATAGTTTATTTAATTTATATATTATGTTTTTCAATAAAATGTCCATGTTATGTCGATCATAGAATAAACTCAATACATGGAGTCTCTATTGTCATTTCTTAGACCATACCAGTTTAATTACAAGGGTACAGTACAGGCAAACCAAGTACAACCAACCATAAATTGTGTTGTTTTAAGGTTTCTGCATTTTGGGAGGACACCCGATACTGATTGGGGGCGGTGGGGTAGTCTAGTGGTTAAAGCGTTGGCTCGTCACGCCGGGTTCGAATCCCCACATGGGTACAATGAGTGAAGCCCATTTCTGGTGTCCCCCGCCGTGATATTGCTGGAATATTGCTAAAAGCGGCGTAAAAACCAAACTCAGTCAGTCAGTCGATACTGATTGCGAAATATAGGGAGCTTTGCATCAATCACACCAATACACATCCACTGAGCTCTTTGCATTACACACTGAAAGTACATGGGACTCGTGATGTATCGAGGCGTGAGCTGAAGTGTAGGAAGTTGACGCAGAAGATGAAGTATCCCGTTCACCACGTGAAATACTTGTTCATCAGCACGAGCAAGCAGGGCAGGCTGTAAATAGCTTTACTTGTGTTTTTTACTTTACTTATGGGTTTTTAAAAATTTGTTGTATACACAGGTTGAAGCAGGGAAGGGAATTATGTTAAGTTTCAAAGAGGGTTAGGGACCGTTCATAATTTATGGCTTTTTGTGTGTGTGTGTGTGTGTGTGTGTGTGTGTTTTCTGATGAATTTAAAGGGGTTACATTTAAAGGGGTTACACACGTACCGGGGAGGCGTCAGCAATTTTGTACATAAAAATATGTTTAAAATTATGCTTAGAAATTATGAGAAGGGGAGGGGATCATTGATTTTGTACATGAAATGCAATCACATATGATTCTGTCTCTTGCAGAAGTTGCAGGAGCGGATTCAGCTGTTTGAGAAAGATGGGGTAGGGGTGCACAGTCCATTTTCACCCGTTTTCACGAGAATTTCAATGGTCGTTTAATACACACCTTCTGGATCCACGTATGAGTTGTGACAACTCCGTAACAAGCGATACTCCTGTTTTTAGAAATTGGTCTTTTCCATTTGAGAAGCGGGAACAGAGAATGTTATTGCTGACAAGGCACAGAATTCAGCCATTCAGTGGAGCTATCTAGATATTTTTTCGCAAGTCAAAAATTAAACTGGTTTCTGACTATCGTGCAACGTATGTTTCCCACGCACATTCTGGTTACAATTTACAATACTGCACAACAACATTTACTGACGTCTACACATAATACTTCCATACTTGATGATAGTCCCGCACTGTGACCATTCCTAATATCTACATTAAATGTAATCGAAACTGATCTAGATCAGTTAACAGGCAAGCCTTGGGGGATGTTTGTTCATATTTATTGACGTTAGAAAATATAAATAGATGAGATTGAGGCCGCTTTTAGCAAAATTCCAGCAGCATCACGGTCGGGGACACCAGAAATGGGCTTCACACATTGTACCTACGTTGGTGATCGAACCCGGGACTTGCTTGTGACGAGCGAACGCTTTAACTACTAGGCTACCCCATGGCCCAAATAGAGGAGAGAAGTGTATTGAGTAATTAAAGATTTCACGAATTATGTGTTAGTCAAGGTTTCAAGACAAGAGAGTCAACAACCATACTTGCAGTAAACAGAGCGTCCCTGACACAATATATAAACAATAGTGATGACTACTCTCACCAATGATGTTATTTCATCACCTGGTGTCGTCGCTGATTTTCAGATGTTTTCCATATAATGGAATCTTTTTCTGCAGATAAACGAGACTATGTATTCCATGGCGTCTCCGTTTAATATTTAATAAATAAAAGAGGCACTGCCGGTTATAGACATGACGCTCAGAAGGTTTTTATGGATATACCTGTTTTGTAATATAGGTATATTTTCTATTTCCAAAACAATTGCGAAAGGAATCTTCAGTGCTGAATAATAAAGCATCTTAAATCGTGTTTAATATTGTAAAATGGAACTAGAACAATTTATAATGAAGAAGAAGAAAATTAGTTTATTATTATTGTGTCACACATTGTTGGAACAACCCGATCCGATAAAAGTACATATTTTTAACAATGTCCGGCAATATGGCCTTTCAGACAACAACGATACCTTAAAATACATACTTGTAAAACATTTGGCATTAAAAACATAGTCATATACAAATATCACAGACATATAACAATGTCAGCCTGTTGTCTTGGCTTATATGAACAGCTATACAGCAAAGAAAATGGTATTTAGTGGTCGTTGGTTGCCTAATGTATCAGAGAGCACACAAGCGACTTTGAATTTCATGCAATCACTCTCAAGTACCACCCAGCATCTGTGACTGTACACCCACAAAGTTATTTTCTAGTGGCAAAGAGGAAGGGGCGAACGTCTCGGATATCTCGGTGTACACGTTCTTCAGAGTGATGAATACCTATGTCCCGTTTGTTATGTGTGGATCGATGGGGTAGCCTCGTGATTAAAGCGTTCGCTCGTCACGCCGAAGTCTCGGGTTCGATTCCCCACATGGGTACAATGTGTGAAGCCTATTTCTGGTGTCCCCCGCTGTGATATTGCTGGAATATTGCTAAAAGCGGCGTAAAACCAAACTCATTCACATGTTATGTGTTGTAGTTATCTGTAAAGATTACCACGAGTACAGTGACCATACTCTTTCAATTTGCGCTTTGTTTAGGTCTTTGGTGAGATCACCAGGTTCCATAAATCGCAGTGTATCCATGGTTACGTGTGACACCACGATAATTTAGTAAAATTTCAACGATCTGAGGACAAGGCAAAACACACATTCGCAGAAGACAACTGAACCAACGACGACAATGATTCCAAAAGTTTCTGCCTGTTGTCAGATTTGGTGCCGTGGTTTGTCCATCAGTCTGGGAACGGGGAAATATGTGGCACTGGCGAACAACTTACACAGGATCCACAGCGTCAAGCCGGCAATCCAAGGTCACAGCAACGCACATCATTCACTACAACAAATCATGTTATCCTAAGGCACATATAGTTCTACCCAAGGCCAAGTTCATGGTTCACCAGACGTTCAAGGACAATATGCATTACTACCCGCCGAGGTCCGGATTAGAACTGATCTTCTGTAACCCATGCTTGTGGTAAGATGCGACTAACGGATCGAGTGGTTACTGGTGTGTCTGCTTCTTCTACATAGTGAGTCATAATTTGAAGACCCATTGCAGTTAATGATTTCATAAAGAGGATTTAGACTGGAATGTTCCATTTAGATACGATTCAGTACCAGATGACTGACTTCTCCCAAAAAACTGTGAATCAAATGATAAACTTGTTCAATTATTTTGCACAATTTTCATTCTGTGGGTTAATTATGTCTTTTGCTACAGGTGGCAATAGCACATGATTCTGAAAAAGGAAAAGTGTAATAAAACTCTGTAATACATATTTTTCCTGTTGTTTATTCTATACTTTCATCAAATAATGATGTATAATATTCATTCTTAAACATTGTAAAATAATACGACTCAGACACTCTTACTTAGAAAGTAGTATTTATTCATCAAGATCCTGACACTATACAAGTATTAACATATACTTATAATTCTATATATTCAAAAGAAAGCCAAAATTGTAAACAAGATTCAGTCATCCACGTCCAAAAGAAATAACAAATATCATAGAAATAGATAATGTTCTGAAAATAACAAATTGTGTAAATCATGAAAAGAAAGTTTACAACAGCATGTACACATAAAAGCAAACCCTCAAACTTCATCATATTAAGCTGTCATCACACAGACTTTCATCACCATCGATCTACTAACTCTGTATAGGTTGGACAGGATTTTTACTAGCATACTAGAAACTACCACAAATTTCAACTGTCAAATTGAAATGAAATCACATCTTGATAGCATAAATTCCCAGCACATGACATGGACACAAACCAGATGAAGGTAGCATTCCTATGTAAGAGAACATGTATATATTACATCTGCATTTTGAATGTTTCAAATCGAATCAACATGACCATATTAGTTTGCGCGAGCTCTACATTGGGTATGTGACACAGATCTGTGCAGTAGAAGATAAATACCAGCATACTGCAGTGTAGCAGACACAAAGAACACGGACAAATAACAGTCGCAAACACTGACAATGTCAAGATGACATACTAGCAGAATAATACAGTTGCGATTTTTCATGGAACATTTTTTTAAATATACAAGTGGACATGAGGTAATTGTAAGAGGTTTTATAGTTATGTTCTAATATTTGTAACAAAGAACATGAACACGAAAATAGGATTACAGGACTGGGCCTAGATTTTCAAAGCTCTGTTAGCTCTAAGATAGTCGTAAGTGCCATACATTAAAATTAATTTACAACTATCTTAGCGCTAAGACAGCTTAAAAAATCTAGGCCCTGACATATTACACATGCGAGCCAGAAAGGAAAATGCTCACCTTATGGCTTACATTTGTTTTGACTGTAAATCTGTTCTTGGTGTTTCACATGATTGTGATGAAATGAGGTACATATTCAAGGTATACATAGTGTATTACAAACATTTCCTTTCCATAATTTTTAGTTCAAACTAATTATATCCCCCACAATTGTTCAGAGTCAAAATGTACAGTTAGATATCTAAAACATGATAACACGGAGAAGGTTCAATTTATCACAAGTTAAGGAATTAAGACTTCAGTCTTGCCAACAAGGACCTCACAATAAATTCTCATGTGCTTCTGCATGTCGCCTAGACGTTTAAAGTTCTTGAAACAACCAGTACACTGATGGGGCTTAGCTTTGGTGTGACAGCTCATGTGTGCATGCAGTTGACTTGATGTTGTGAATGCCTTTCCACAAACAGTGCATTCGTATGGTTTGACTCCTGTGTGACTCCTCATGTGTCTCTGTAGATGGCTTGATGTAACAAATGATTTCTCACACACATCACATTGGTACGGCTTGACACCAGTGTGACATCTGCTGTGGGACTGCAGATGACTTGCCTGGGCAAATGTTTTCCCACATTCATTGCACTCATATGGCTTGTCACCACTGTGGCACCTCATGTGAACTTTCAAGTAAGGTGATCGTGTGAATGCTTTCCCGCACTCTGTACACTCATACGGCTTTATTCCACTGTGACACTTCAAATGTACCTGCAGATTACTTGATGTTGCAAAGGCTTTACCACATATAGTGCATGCATATGGCTTGACTCCACTGTGAAACAACATGTGCCTTTGCAGGTTATTTGATTGGGTGAATCTTTTGCTGCACACACCACACTCAAATGGCTTGATTCCAGTGTGACACTTCATATGTCTCTTCAGGTAGGCTGATTCTGCAAATGTTTTACTACACAAACCACACTCATATGGCTTGGCTTCTCCGTGACAACTCATGTGATCCTTCAAGTCACATGGGAGTTCGAATACTTCCTGACACTCTCTACACTCATATGGCTTGATATCACCATGACAAATCATGTGTGTCTGCAGTTCACTTCTTTCAGAAAATGCTTTGTCACATTCTCCACACTCATATGGCTTGACATCGACATGAGAACCCACATTGGTCTCCATGCCACCTGATAACATATATGATTCCTCATACTCACTACTTTCATCTGGTTTGGGCTCATGTTGGCACCTTATGTGTTCTTGAAGGTCACCAGACAGTGAAAACGCTTCATCACACTCCATGCACTTAAAAGGCTTCACGCCCTTGTAACACATCATGTGTAACAACAGGTTACACTCAACCTGCCCACATACATTACAAGCACTGGGCTGATCTTCATTCTCATTGTTTACACCTTCATCTTCCTTGTGATTACTTTCTGGGTCATCTGTTGTGACCGATTTATTTGTCTCTGTTTGGTTTTGTGTTTCCATATTAAAGATGTGATATCAGAAATTGAGACGTCACCCTTTTTCAGTTCTGTAGACAAGATCACCACAGATGGAAACCCCAGGTATAGACTGTAAAGGAAATCAGAATCAAATTAATTTAAATAATTAATTTAGGAGTACGGCATGCATGAAATCTTCTATAATGTTGTCTGAACATATCTGATTAAACCTACTTCATGAATGAGATCATACTTTAAGGTGACAGAATTTGTGTCCCAAATCATAAAGAGATGATAAAATCATGAAATCATGGAGACATCTGAACAACATTCAAATCTTGAGCCTCAATATTATGTGCCATCTGACCTGTGAAGGTTCAGGTTAGAATATTGGCCTTCAGTAACCCATGCTTATTGTAAGAGGCGACTAACAGGATCGGGTGGTCAGGCTCGCTGACTTGGTTGACACGTCTTTGGTTCCCAATTGCGCAGATTGATGCTCACTCTGTTGATCACTGGATTGTCTGGTCCAGACTCGATTATTTACAAATCGCCACTATATAGCTGGAATATTGCTGAGTGCAGCATAAAACTCAACTCACTCACTCACTCACTCATTATGTGCCATCCACTTTGGAAATAAATATAATGATATCATAATTTGGTTACTTCTTCATTTAATGGGAAGAAGTAAAGCAGCTGAATTTTCTATCATTTTTCTTGAAATTTCTTTTTCTCTTGGGGTATCCAAACATAGCAAAACCTGTCGAACAAATGCATCTGTTGTCCTGACTGCTACTGATAAGGCAGGACATCCTGAGTCACCTTCTGCAAAACCTGGTGTCATGTAGGATTTTCAGTGATCCATTCACATAACCTAAAGGCAGCGTTCAAAATAAGGAGGGCCAGCTCCAGTTGTTACTGTATCAGGCCTGCAGTTTCACATATTTGCAGGCACTTGTGGCCTTCAGTAAATTATCCTTCAGATTTTTACAACTGGAATCTTTCCCCTTTATTTTTTTCTTTATTATTGTTTCGGGAATCATACATGATCCATCATGTTCTGATAACTTACAGTTTCACTTCCTGGTATTTCAATGCTTTGTGCATAGGAATGTCAACACCAGTCTTTAACAAATGAGAACTTTTCTGTGGCCATAAAGGCTGTTTGCCTTTTATGCCCAATGAAACTGGTTTTGGTGGTTAAGCAAGACTGGTTATTCTCTGGTTTTGAAATAATTTGGACTACATAACTTCTTTAAGAAGCATTTAGAAGTTGGATCAATAAGAAAGGATGACAATATATGGATTAACAACTTCTGTATTACAGTGACAGCAACGTTTCGGTGTAAGTTCTAACACCGTTATCAAGCAAGTGATGATGATAACTGTGTTAGAACCAACACCGACACGTTGATCACACTGTAATAAAGAAGTTGTTTATCCATATATTATCATCCTTTATAAGTGAACTACATAAATAACAAAAAAACAACCCAGCGTCAATGTACTGTTGCTCACCAGTGAACTGAACGTCACATGAAGTGAACACAAGTCAGGAAAGTGTGGGGTACAATAAGGCTTGATTATATGATAATACAGTATAATACGAGAGAAACATTACTTCATGGCATCAAAGACTGAAATACTATAACACCTCATTTGCTAAAGAGTGAGTGAGTATGGTTTTAGCAATATTCCAGCAATACCATGGCAGGGGACACCAGAAATGGGCTTCACATATTGTACCCATGTAGGGAATCAAACCTGGGTCTTCGGTGTGGCAGCGAACACTTTAACCACAAGGCTACCCCACCGTCCCTCATTTGATAAAGATGCTCCAACAGATAAGATACTGATTCCTAATGATGAGTTAATTACATACCACACATTAATATGAGAGTGAGGATATCAAGAATGGATTTAAAACATTTGACCTAAGTGAAATATGTAACATCAAAATGTCCCATCCTTCCAAATTCTATTCAAGAACAAACCTGAACAAAATTGATAAAAACTGTTGAAGATAATTTGAGACGCACGTACATGAGGTAATTATTGCAATGCAATCGATACATCAGTCTGTCATTTCCTTCAGTGATAAACAAGATGTAGGGAAAGTCTTCTACAGCTGTCATTGTACATGATCACAATAATGTTAAAACAGAAAATTCTTCCTTGTACTTAGAGAACATTCTTTAAGCAAATAACCCTAATAAATTGATTTGAAGAAGCAGCACAAAAAGAACTCGAGACAATATAAATCTCTCAGGGAACCAATATGCAAATAAAATGAGTATGAACTGTCACAGCATTTTAAATATCGCCATTTCTATTGGTTCTTAAGTTATCATTCAGTACTCGAAAGTTTTCTTGTCTTCCAATGATGTTCATCTGATTTCAATAATCATTTGCCAAAATATATTTTTCTGACAAAATCTCTTCTCACATGATCAGACAAAATGATTCAAAATGGTGATCTGACAAAATGATTCAAAATGGCGATCAGACAAAATGATTCAAAATGGCAATCTCAGATAATAATGCATCTTGTTTACATACTGATTCCATAGGTTGTCATAGACAAACTGTTGTGAAAACTGATGGGGTTTATTAGAAGTTGTATGCCTCTCTTGAGGGCAATACAGTCTGATATACACCGATTTGTAGCAGTGTTACCCGAGCCGTGCACTGCATGCCTCATATTATGAGGTCATGCGATTGTTAGTAATGCAGGTTCTCGGCAGAGAGTTTGGAGGTTACTGTAGCAGCAGGTAATATTTTGTCCAGTTGTCACCCTCCTGGGAGGGGTGAGACAGAAACTTGTTAAAGCGTCATTGACCAATGAAATTTAAGTATTTTACATGAAGGTAAGATAAAACATTTATGAGCATCTAACATTTCCTCTTAGAGTGGATGTCAAGTCCTTTGTATTTCTTTATACCTCAAGTTATAAGGTATATCATTTAAATCCTTTGCCGTGATGTAATCAGGATCAGTTGGATGGCTGATTGTATGTCACTATACTCCAATAGTCTGTCATGTATCATGACAACTACACTTTACGGTCTCCAGGTTACTAGGATACAGTGGAATATTAAGACAAAGAGAAAAAAAACAATTCAACAGATACAGCATATTTGAGAGAAGTATTTATTAATCATACTATACAAGGTGTATCTGCATATACTAAAAATGTGACCTATTCAAAAGGAAGTCAAAGAGATTCAATCATTCAAGAAAGAGAAAAGGTCAAAATGTGAAATGTTTCAACAGACATTTTTGGGAAGTCATGAAAATCTGTTAATAGCATTTTCCCATAAATCAAAGCTGTAAATGATCATATTTATCTGTATGCTGCGCAGAGCATAATGGTTATCATCAAATTCATGTTCATTATAAATGTTTCTTTCACTCTATACAAATATTTCATTAAAATGTCATCAACTGGTATAAATGTTCAACGTCAAAAAGTCTCTTTGGTGTTAGTTATCATAATGTCAAAAATGAAAAATGATCTGAAAAACATACTGTGAAAATATGCCAGCGTATCAATTTTGTCACAAAAAAAGCCAGCAAGAAGGCTGTTTTACATGAATATTATACAGAACTATGTATTCATAACCACAATAATTTCTTCAGCTTCCATTTTGAATTGTTCAAATTGAATCAACATAAGGATCTATTTTCTTGAGTCAGCTCTGTAGTTGATAAGTGGAATTGATCTGCATTGTAGTTGAAAATTACATGCACACAGCAAAGTTACAGACACAAGGACGGACAGACTAATAACAAATACCTACACTCACAAACACAATAACATAGTCACAATATTCATGAACATCCAATTGCTACATGCTTGATAAATGAGGTAAGGGGTTTTACAGGGAAACTAACATCTCCAAGTAATGACCTTGAATTTGTGACAACAGGAACAATGATGACAAGAACATTGAGAAAGAGGCAAAACAGAACAGACAGAATCGCTCTGTCAGATAATCTGTTCAGAACGTTTCATATAATCATAATAATACTGAAATAAACTGGTACAGATTTTTAAAATATTGATAGGATACCAGCTTCATATTTCAGTCAATTTTTCATTTTGATCACAATTTTGTATTTCCAAAACTGGCCAAATCACCAACAGTTGCATCTCCGAGTTGTTGCATCTCACAAAACAAGATGAACCATAGAAAGGTCCTCTTGTCAACACTTAAGGAATTAAGACTTCAGTCTTGCCAACAAGGACCTCACAATAAATTCTCATGTGCTTCTGCATATCGCCTAGACGTTTAAAGTTTTTGAAACAACCAGTACACTGATGGGGCTTGGCTTTGGTGTGACAACTCATGTGAGCATGAAGGTGACTTGATGTTGTGAATGCCTTGTCACAAACTGTACATTCGTAAGGTTTGACTCCTGTGTGACTCCTCATGTGTCTCTGTAGATGGCTTGATGTAACAAATGATTTCTCACACACATCACATTGGTACGGCTTGATGCCAGTGTGACATCTGCTGTGGGACTGCAGATGACTTGCCTGGGCAAATGTTTTCCCACATTCATTGCACTCATAAGGCTTGTCACCACTGTGACACCTCATGTGTACTTTCAAGTAAGGTGATCGTGAGAATGCTTTCCCACACTCTGTACACTCGAAGGGCTTGTCTCCGCTGTGAACCTTCAAGTGTACCTGCAGGTTTCCTGATGTAGCAAAGGCTCTACCACATATAGTGCATGCATATGGCTTGACTCCACTGTGAAACAACATGTGTCTTTGCAGGTTATTTGATTGGGTGAATCTTTTGCTGCACACACCACACTCAAATGGCTTGATTCCAGTGTGACACTTCATATGTCTCTTCAGGTAGGCTGATTCTGCAAATGTTTTACTACACAAACCACACTCATATGGCTTGGCTTCTCCGTGACAACTCATGTGATCCTTCAGGTCACATGGGAGTTCGAATACTTCCTGACACTCTCTACACTCATACGGCTTGACATCACCATGACAAATCATGTGTGTCTGCAGTTCACTTCTTTCAGAAAATGCTTTGTCACATTCTCCACACTCATATGGCTTGACATCGACATGAGAACCCACATTGGTCTCCATGCCACCTGATAACATATATGATTCCTCATACTCACTACTTTCATCTGGTTTGGGCTCATGTTGGCACCTTATGTGTTCTTGAAGGTCACCAGACAGTGAAAACGCTTCATCACACTCCATGCACTTAAAAGGCTTCACGCCCTTGTAACACATCATGTGTAACAACAGGTTACACTCAACCTGCCCACATACATTACAAGCACTGGGCTGATCTTCATTCTCATTCTTCCCATCTTCTTTGTGACAACTTTCAGTATCATTTATTGTGACCACTTTATATGTCTCTGTTTGGTTTTGTGCTTCCATAATATAAGATGTTATATCAGAAACTTTGTAGAGATGTCACCTTTCTTTAACAGTTCTGATGATGTTTCACAAGATGACCATAGAAGAAAACCCCCGGTAAAGACTGTAAAGGAAAATCAGAAAAGTTAAATATTTAACAGTACACCTCCATTACTGCTATCAGCTGGCTATATTACAGCCCAAATATTATACATGATTATATCTAATAAATGAATAAGAATATACTGATGGTAATTTCCTTTGGTGGTCTGAGGCATTATAATGATAGATTCACATCATGCATAAACAGGGGAAATATTGTTATATGGTGGATATGTTTGGATTACATCCCAATCTGGAGCCTTGCTGATAAGATGCTATATATTTTTTCCTTGTAAGAAATATTCAGGATACCTGATAAAAGTCATTTCTAGTGTTTCTCAAACTATTAAAAGCGTCATTTCTTGCTCTGACCACCAATGACCATTGGAACACTTCAGTGCTATCCCACAGTGCCACATTCAGGACATCTTACACAGTAAAATGTATCTTCAGGGGTGGAAATAACCCATTGCCTGACACCCCAGTCAAGTGTTTTTTTCTGTCGGGCAAGCAAATTTGTACATCACACTGTACCGGTGTCTAGTTGACTTTCCAATGTTAATTATGTTTTGTTTATTTAAAAAATCAACAAGAAAATTGGCCAGTATAGTAGAAAAATTATCAGGGCAAGTGAGTTTACATGTGCTACTGTATCGGAGTACACTAGCAATTTTGAATTTATTTCCACCCCTGATCTTACAATACAGACTTTGTGAAAGCAAACACCTGTTGTCATCACTGATGTTTTTTTTGCTAAGCAGAATCTGGCAGATAATTTACAATGAAGATTTAGGGTTGACCTTTCACATTTACATGTGCCAGTCAACTGTTATAAATAGAGAATCTCACCCAAGTGTCTTCTGATATCAATTATATCAACACGAGTTGATAAAGTTACAAATATCCGAGGCTTGCCGAGGATATTTTTACTTTATCAACGAGTGCTGATATATTTGATATCAGAAGACACGAGGGTGAGATTCTATTTATCATCAAAAATCACTCTTCATTAATTTTCAATGAAAAATGTACATCTCTGAACATGGTACTGCCATTACACTTGCAGTGCAGCGATGTCATAGCATTGTGACGTCATCAAGTACATGACGTCATAGCATTGTCTGGGCATTGTACAAAATCTACTGTCAAAACGATATCTCCTAGGAGATATCGTTTGATCTCACACAAGCGATATCTCCTGTGGAACACAGTTTTGGATGATAAATTTGTATGTATTCTACATGTATTTTGTCACCACATTGGGTAAACTAGATAACATTTCAGCTTGAACCAATGATATTCTTATATTTCCTTATCAAGGAAAGCAAATGCAAAAGAAATGTTTGAATTGCCATCATAAAAGAAAGCCATGTTTCACTCTCTGATAATGCTGTTGGTTCTTAATTTCTTTCCATTTATTGTGTCCTCCTCCAAAAACATTCTCAGTTACATTTCAATGACATATTCTCCAAAAACAGTCAAAATGTCCTGTCAAATCAGTTTCAAGGGCATTAAAATGCAAACATTTAAAGTAAACAGAATGTTTTGCCGAATTCTCGATACTAAAATTGCTTGGTGTTGACAGTTTATACTATATATCTTCTCTTGGTAATTGGTAGATTGGTAAAAGAGTTTTCATATTTCCTTTGTATTTGTAATTTGATAATTAAAATAAACGTGCCATTAACCTGATTAACAATGAATTACTATGTGTCAAACATTTGGTTCATTGTATGTCATCGGCATGGAATGTCCTAACCGTATTACTTCCTGGTTGCCTGGTCAAGGTCTCATTACATTCAGTGAGTGAAGGAGTGAGTTTAGTTTTACGCCGCACTCAGCAATATTCAAGCTATACGGCAGCAATCTGTAAATAATCCAGTCTGGACAAGACAATCCAGTGATCAACAGCATGAGCATCAATCTGTGCAAGTCAGTGAGCCTGACCACCCAATCCTATTAGTCACCTCTTACAACAAGAATGGGTTACTGAGGATTAATTCTAATCCGGACCATCATTACCTTCAGACCACCATGATATAGCTAAATTGTTTCACATTGTTTACAGTGGGATTAAGCAACATCCCCTAACTCACTTCCAGACATGCCATCATGGTAATTCCTTTTCAAGGAACTTCAGTTACAGAGTGCACTTGGGAAACACTGCACAAATCAGTTTTAGCTATGAATTTCATGTGTCTGTGTTAAAGTTTGGTAGTTAATATTGACTTTGTGCTAATTCAGAAAATTCTTTGATCCAATAATGGTTCATAATTTTGATGCTTAAAACATTGTTAAGATGTTAATTGTGAATATAAAAACAAACATATTTCATTACTGTGAATATTTCTAAGTAGTATTTATTAATCATAATCACAGTAACATACAACATGTACAAATAGTATCGACAAAATATTTATGTGTGATCTATTAAAAAGGAAGTCAATATGGTCAAGAGATTAAATTATTCACCCTAAAAACAACAAACAAAAATCAAAATAAAATCATCTAACAAATTAATAAACTATTGAAACAAAAGTTCACATCAGCATTTTCACACCAATCAAACATTTAATTTTCATCATATTAACTTGATTCACTTCCAAGATAATTTCACACTCATAAATAATGTTATATTTAATATGTTGTTTTTTGGTTTGACACATTACTCAGCTGTATTCCAGCTACAAGAAGGGCGGTGGGGTAGCCCAGTGGTTAAAGCGTTCGCTCGTCACGCCGAAGACCCAGGCTCAATTCCCTACATGGGTACATTGTGTCAGGCACATTTCTGATGTCCCCCGCCGTGATATTGCTGGAATGTTGCTAACAGCTAGATGGGTTTCTGTACATAACTCATTCTCTTCCCACAAAGGTTACTCAAGTCATATCTTCCCACGTAGCCACTGTTCTAATACGGCCCTTTCATGGTGTGATTGTTCAGGATTCGTGATTGTTGCAGTCAGATTTAGTTGTGCAATCAGCGACGTTGTTTCAAAAGTGATCATTCGCAAAGCCTCGGTAATTTCCGTATGATTCGGGAAAACTATTCCCCTGCGCAATGCGTAAACGTTTCTTCAAGACAGAACCCAGTCATGTAATGGCGAATTAATGGCATCTCCTTCGACCTTGTTGACAATGGACAAGCTAGCCATTAAATGTCTTGTGTGTCAAATCAACATAAGTCATCGGCAGAAGAGGGATATTTGTGGCCCCACTTTCTATTACTTGTTTCTGATTTCCAGTTAAACAAGAAATACCGAATCTATCCTTCGCATATTGATCAACTAACTCCATGGCGGCCGCCATATTGGATCTAAGTGGATGTAACACGTGTTCTGATTCGATAGAAAGAAGGGAGATAATTGGTGTTGTGCTTTTTTGGCGCCAGGGGATTTTACACGAACCGGGAAATATGCTGTATTAGAACAGAGGCTACATGGGAAGATATGACTTGAGTAACCTCTGTCGGAAGAGAATGTATATAACTGATCTGGACCAGGCAGTCCAGTGATCGACATCATGAGCATCAGTCTCACCAAATGGGATATGATAACATGCATCAACCGAGTCATGAAAACTAACCATGTAGACCTGTTAGCTGCCTCTTAGGACAAACAAGGGCTGCTGAAGTCCATTTCTATCCCGAATCTACAAGATTTCATTTAGAATGTACAACGATTTCTGTAACATGCTGAAATCTTGTTTTAACCACTTTCAACGACAAATAAAATTGAAATAACTTTGTTATTGTAAGATACCATGATATCACACATGCATATGATCCTATGATCATCCTCTGAAATGGCAAAACAAATGTACAGCTAAGCCATAATCAGATAAAGGCTATATTCTTCATGTTGATGAGTATTATAACCATGTATTATTATTGCAGCATCCAGTTATAATTAGACGAAGACCCAAATATATTAAGCCAGCTTTATATTGGACATGTGACATTGACATTCACAGTGATAAAAGAAAACATTGAATAACTATAAAACCCTAATTGTTAGAAACCTCCATCTACATGTACAATTCTGACTATATCAAAGGTCACAAACACATGTAAAGGCAAGCCAACTATTCCCCCAAAACAGAGATATGGTACAAGAAATAAACGGTTTAAGCACACTGTAGGTAACAGACACAGAGACAGATGCACACTTGTAACCATGATAACAAATGCCTATACTGACACAACATCCATGAATCTTCATTTGCCTCATACATGTAGAAGTATTGATGAGGTAAGAGTTCTTTTGGAGGCAGCTTACTAAGCATGTGTTCACATTTGTGATCCAGAACACTGAGAGTTCATGTAGAAAGCATGAAAAATGGCCATAAATAAGAAATATACAACAAATGTCAACTATAACGTTGGCATTTTTATGAGAGTAAACCATCTGAATATTTAGTGTAATAAAACAAGGTGTGTGTATATTAAATGGTATTGACAGAAAGCCAGCTTCCCCATAAACTAGTTTTTAACGAAGTCCCATTTCAAAGTTTTGTGTACAGTTGCATCTCATAAAACATGGCAAGATCAACTTGTCACATCTCAAGGAATTAAGACTTCAGTCTTGCCAACAAGGACCTCACAATAAATTCTCATGTGCTTCTGCATGTCGCCTAGACGTTTAAAGTTTTTGAAACAACCAGTACACTGATGGGGCTTGGCTTTGGTGTGACAACTCATGTGAGCATGAAGGTGACTTGATGTTGTGAATGCCTTGTCACAAACAGTGCATTCGTAAGGTTTGACTCCTGTGTGACTCCTCATGTGTCTCTGTAGATGGCTTGATGTTACAAATGATTTCTCACACACATCACATTTATACGGCTTGACACCACTGTGGCACCTCTTGTGCACCTGGAGATGACTTGCCTGGGCAAAAGTTTTCCCACATTCATCACACTCATAAGGTTTCACACCACTGTGATACCTCATGTGTACTTGAAGGTAGACTGATCGTGAAAACGCTTTCCCACACTCTGTACACTCAAAGGGCTTGTCTCCGCTGTGAACCTTCAAATGTATCTGCAGGTTACTTGATGTTGCAAAGGCTTTACCACATTCATTGCATACATATGGCTTGACTCCACTGTGAAACAACATGTGTCTTTGCAGGTTATTTGATTGGGTGAATCTTTTGCTGCACACACCACACTCAAATGGCTTGATTCCAGTGTGACACTTCATATGTCTCTTCAGGTAGGCTGATTCTGCAAATGTTTTACTACACAAACCACACTCATATGGCTTGGCTTCTCCGTGACAAACCATGTGATCTTTCAGGTCACATGGGAGTTCGAATACTTCCTGACACTCTCTACACTCATATGGCTTGACATCACCATGACAAATCATGTGTGTCTGCAGTTCAATTCTTTCAGAAAATGCTTTGTCACACTCTCCACACTCATATGGCTTGATGGCAACATGAGAACCCACATTGACCTCCATGCTACTTGATGCTTCTTCAAACTCGCTACTCTTGTCAGACTTTGCTTCATCGTGACACCTCATGTGTTCCTGAAGGTCACCAGACAGTGAAAATGCTTCATCACACTCTGTACACTTAAAAGGCTTCACGCCCTTGTAACACATCATGTGTAACAACAGGTTACATTCAACCTGCCCACATACATTACAAGCATTGGCCTGATCTTTGTTCTCACTCTCGTATCTTCCTTGTGACCACTCTCTTCTACGAATGCTTTCTCACTTTCAGTGTCATACATAGTGACAGACGTATTTGTCTGTGTATGGCCTTTCGTTTCCATAGTAAAGATGGATGTGATGGTATCAGAACCCTAGAAGAGTTGTTACCTTTCTTTCACAGTTCTGTTGATGTTTCATAAGAACACCACAGATGGAAACCCCCAAGACTGTAAAGGAAAATTAAAATCACATATAGTTAATCATGAAACAGTACAGGTAGTTTGAACATAACCTTCAAAATAACAGCCTGTGCTAAGCCAGAAATCATGCAAGAAACCATGGAAACGGAATTATTACATGGAGAGATGTTTGCATTACATTCCAATCTTGAGTCTTGCTATTGAATAAACATCTTACATGAATATCTTACATGAAGCAAATGAGTGTACTAGCAAAACTGTACAACTGTCACTGGGCACTGTTTCTCCCTTGGTACATTCAAAGTGGGGAGACCGCCTCCGTGGTTTAGTGGTTAGAGCGTCCGCCCGGAGAGCGGAAGGTCGCGGGTTCGATCCCCGACCGCGTCAAACCAAAAGACGTTAAAATATGATACTTGTTGGTCCCTGCCTGGCGCTCGGCATTAATGGGTACAACAAGGACTGGTCGGCTCGGAGTCAGTATAATGTGTCTGAGTGGGGTATTCATGCTTCACTGCGGCATGGTATCTCAGTGGGCTAGCACTATAAAACCAGCTTAAGTCTGGGCTAGTACAAGCAGCCGCACATACACATACACACGCATGCACGTCGTCATATGAGCGAAATATTCTCAAGCACGACCTCACCTCAAAGTGGGGTAAGTAGTCTATAAAGTAGAAATATGTTTGTAAAGTGTGGCTTTGTAACATGGTTGGACAGATGAGGACACAATAATAAAAGCATACTGTTTTATGCCATTAAACACGAATGTGTCATTTAATTTGTTAAAACAGGTTCTGAGATGATGGAGCTAAGTTTTATGCCGCTTTAACAATATTCCAGCAATATCATGGCTGGAACACCAGAAATGGGTTTCACACACTGTACCCATGTGTGAAATTGAACCTGGGTCTTCGACGTGACGAGCAAACGCTTTAACTAGTAAGCTACCCCACCTCCCCTCTGAGATGAAAGATATGTCTCAGCCTGATCACTGTGCTATCTTTAATGTGAATTACAAGTAACAGTAGTCTATTATTGAGCAATATGTAACTGCATTCTTCACTTAGCTCTGGAAGGGCTTGGCTCTGTGGGTTCCCCGCATTGGTGTTTAGCCTTTTCATATTCTACCAGGTAAACTTATGCCAACGAAAGAGTGAGTATCAGTTGTATCACAGAACCTTTTAAATAGGTTTTGAAAGTGAAATTCAGTTTGTGAAAATTCCAGCTTGACCAAGATGTACATCAGAACTCACTTGTTAATTTCCCTGATGAGCACATAAAACTGCCATGTTGAATTCTTATTGATGTTTCTTCTAAGCTTAATCTGTGAATGATGTCTCTCCTTTTGGTATGTATGCTAGGATGATTATAGTAGAAGCAAAAGTATATGTGTACATGTGTTGTTTTTTTGTAGCTTTTTACCAAAAATATCAATAAACAGTGGCGGTACAGTAACACTGACATGCACAGAAGTCTCAGTAGCAATGACCCATGCAGATCTGGATTAGAATTGGTCTTCAGTAACTTGGTTGACACATGTCATCGTATCCCAATTTCGTAGATTGATGCTTACGATGTTGATCACTGGATTGTCTGGTCCAGACTTGATTATTTACAGACCACCGCCATATAACTGGAACATTGCTGAGTGCAGTGTTAAACATCAAACAAACCAACCAACTCAATAACAATAGCCTGTACAATTTCAATTTTGTTGAATGTTTTACAAAACTGTGCCTCACTGTGTTAGATCGATAACTTGATGACAGCCAGAACCTAAACCACGTTTGAGGAAGACAGTACACCTGATTTGTTCACTTCATCTAGAATTTTAAATCAAGGTAATGTGATAATAGAATGGTTTTAATTAGAAAATGAAGAAGCAGGTTCTTATAAATTGTCATAAGGTTTCAACTCTGTACATTGTGGTGACAAATAAACACCTTGTACAACAGTTACAGATTCTAGTTCCAGGTTGGCAGAAATGTTCTGAGCCTGCTATGATGGACTGAGTTGATGGCCATTGGGCATGTTGGGGTTGCTGGTTATGCTTTAAATTAATCCCCTCTGAGGTACACACACTTCTGCCTATGATGGCTGGACTTTCTGTATGCCATTGGTCAATTTTAGGGCTGGGACGGGTTCAAATTTCCTACCCAGATACCTGTTATGTGAATTCCTGACATCAAATTTGTAAGAAATGGCAATATATTCTTCAGTTTGGAGACTAAAATTTCAAGATTTTCAATATCTTAACTATGCATTATTTTCAAAACAGGTGACTGTAAATTATGTCTAAATCTCCAAAGACAATACAATCTTTTAATCATGAGAGAATGACATATAACATTGTTTAATCTTTTAGTCACATGATCATAACGGGTCCGGGTACTTAGGTCCAACTCATTACCCACCCATCCTGGGTATCCAGGTTACCCAGCCCACTCCCAGCCCTAGTCAATTTGGTGTATTAGGTTCCCTGAGCAGGAAGTCATTTACAGTGGAAATGAAACCATCATCATTTGCATATCGATTACCAGAAGTTCCCTATTCAAGTTTAAAAAGAGGTAGAAATATGACTTGTGAATACAAGGGTGTTTAAAACAGGCCAAAGCCACAGCCAAACATTGGCAACAATAAACTTGTGCAGAGGTGCTTCTTCCTAGTGGAACAACACACCCTTACTGAGTTTTCCCACGACCTTTATCCTTGATATTCCTTAAAGCAAATTAGCATAATGTTAGTCATAAATGGTCTGACCTTTCAGAAGGTAGTCCACCTCAAAGATTCCTTGGGAGATACCCCAAAAACAAAGCCATCACCTTGCCAGCTGATTGAACAGACTTTGTTTTCTTTACAGATGACATTATTATTTTTGGTATAATATAAAAATATAAAATACACTATAAAATATCAGTACCAGAGAATTACCAGACTTCATCATTTGACAAAAACACATTTCATTGGGTGTTAAATGCAATACATGTATAGCAGTGAAAATCATGTGAATGGACCACCGACAATCAGTGATGACACCAGGTGTTTGCTAAAAGGGTTTAGGGTGTCCTGCCCTTCCAGTAGAGCCTGCCACCCACATAACTTGTACAAAAAAATGTATTTGCTTTCTGTCACAACACAGTAGAAATCTCTAACAAAAGGAAAGTCCACTGTACGATTCTGACAACATTTAAGCAGTTGTTCATGAATCACTATATGAAAGTGACGATACCAGGTCCTAAAAAAGACAGACCCTTGAAGATCCGGGTTAGAATTGATCTTCAGTAACGCATGCTTGTCGTAAGAGGCCACTAACGGTACCAGGTGGCCTGGCTCACTGACTTGGTTGACACATGTCATCGTCTCGCAATTGCGTAGATCGATGCTCATGCTGTTGATCACTGGATTGTCTGGACCAGACTCCATTACTTACAAACCACCACCATATAGCTGTAATATTGCTGAGTGTGGCGTAAAACTGAACTCACTCACGCTCACCCTTAAACACATACAAGACAACTGTTCATCACGTCCACCTGAGAAGACAAAGAAATGGTAGAAGTCAAAGTAGCCAACTCCATTTTGGGTATTGATGCATCAAATTTGGAAATGCCCTCCACATATCTACCATAAACGATAGATATCTAGATTCCAAATGCTAAAGGCTGGAGGTGTTGGGACTTCTTCTCATCTTACAAGGAAAGTTGACCTGACTTGAACAAACTCCTTGTCCAAAAATGAATTCAAAACAATACAACCACAATATTCCTGAAATTTTATTAGTCACATGCAGTTGATGAAGGGTAAGATGTTCTATAGCTCAGACAATATGTCAGCTAATGTATGCCAATAAACAAGAATGATGACTAAGTGTACATGAGAAACATACTATACAGATCAGACTTATCACGAGAGAGAACATCGTGGGCATCGTTGTATCCGAAAACATTTTTCGGAACATTCCCAACTGAAATATGTCTTGGGGATTGTATGCAGTCTCATCTTGTCATTGCATTTTATTATCTCCACTTATCACTGACTTGAATTGGCACAATCATTCGCAAAGTTACATGAACAGTCCAGGGAAAGAAACCTTTCAAAATTTCCCACTAGACCACATGTCCAGTGAGTGGACAATAACTAGCGGTCCTGTCTGTGCCTCACTATTCCAAAATAACATTCGTATATTTACTTAACTATCAATACAAAATTCACTGGCCAAAAGGACCACTGCAAACTTAACATTTAGTGGTCCTGATGAATTTTAACTAGCCAGGGACCACAGGACCAGTGTAAATTCCGCATACTGAAAGCCTTGTCCACATCTCTCCTCGTACTAAATGATAACCCACAGAAAGGTCAACTTTTCAATCTTTAAAGAATTCAGACTTGAGTCTTGCCAAGGACCTTACAATAACCTCGCATATGTCTCTGCATGTCACCAAGACGTTTAAAGTTTTTGAAACAACCAGTACACTGATGTGGCTTGGCTTTGGTGTGACAGCTCATGTGTGAATGAAGGTGACCGGATGTCGTGAATGCCTTGTCACAAACTGTACATTCGTAAGGTTTCACTCCAGTATGACTCCTCATGTGTCTCAGCAGGTGTGTAGATCTTGCAAATGCTTTCTCACACTCTTCACATTTGAATGGCTTGGCACCACTGTGATATTTCTTATGGTCCTGCAGATGACTTGATTGTGCAAATGTTTTCCCACATTCATCACACTCATAAGGCTTGACACCACTGTGAGTCCTAAAGTGTACTACGAGGTAGCTCGATCGTGAAAATGATTTCCCGCACTCAGAACACCCAAAGGGTTTGATTCTGCTGTGACACCTCAAATGTGCATTCAGGTGACTTGATATTTTAAAGCCTTTACCACATTCAGCGCATGTGTGTGGCTTGATGCCAGTGTGGAACAACATGTGCCTCTCCAGGTGACAAGACTGTGCGAATGTTTTGTTGCACATACCACACTCGTATGGTCTGACTTCACTGTGAGTGTGACACTTCATATGTTTTCTAAGGTAGGCTGATTTAGCAAATTTTTTACAACACAAACCACACTCATATGGCTTGGAATCTCCATGACAAACCACGTAATCCTTCAGGTTACTTTGGACTGGAAATACTTCCTGACTCTCTCTACCCTCATACAGCTTGATATCACCATGACAACTCATGTGTATCTGCAGCTCACTTCTCTCACTAAATGCTTTGTTACACTCTCCACACTCATATGGCTTGACAGCAACATGAGAACCTACATCGGTCTCAATGCCATGTGATACTAGTGATGGCGGAAACGCTTCCTCGCACTGGCTATCATCATTGGGTTTGGCCTCATGATGACACCTCATGTGTTCCTGAAAGTCACCAGACAGTGAAAATGCTTCACCACACTCACTACACTTAAAAGGCTTTACACCCTTGTAACATGCCATGTGCAGCTGCAGGCTACTTTCTACCTCAGGTAGCCCGCTAACGTTACACACAGTAGGCTGGTCTTCACACTCACTTCCCACATCCTTGTGACCAGTTTCAGTATCATTTACCCTGACAGATACCTCTGTCTTGTTGTGTGCCTCCATAATAAAGATGTTATGACATCAGGACACTAGAAGAGATGACACCTTTCTTTCACAGTCTTGCAGATGTTTCATAAGAACATCATAGATGGAAAGCCCAGGTCAAGACTGTAAAAGAAACTCAGAGTAAAAACATAATCAAACTGGTTTGCACGGTGACTGGTATAGTAGTTGGAATATTGCAAGTAACACGACTATACATAAACATGCTGGAAGCAGTATGGAAGGTTCATACTTCGAGGTTACTGCCATGATTACCAAAACATGAACATGATATAATGACACTATTGACAAAGGTGAGGTGAAATTGGGTTTTACATCGTGCTTGAGAATATTTCGCTCATATGACGACGTGCATGCGTGTGTATGTGTGGCTGCTTGTACTAGCCCTAGCCCAGACTGAACCTGGTTTTATAGTGCTAGCCCACTGAGATACCATGCTGCAGTGAAACACGAATACCCCACTCAGACACATTATACTGACTCCGAGCCGACCAGTCCTTGTTGTACCCATTAATGCCGAGAGCCAGGCAGGGACCAACAAGTACCATATTTTAACGTCTTTTGGTATGAAGTGGTCGGGGATCGAACCCGCGACCTTCCGCTCTCCGGGCGGACGCTCTAACCACTACACCACGGAGGCGGTCCTATTGACAAAGTGTTTCAGTCATGAAAGAAGCAGAAATATTGACATGTGGAGTTTTGTTATTTGTTCCTTTAAAACATGATGATAGCATCATTTTCTGTTATGAACCATAGAAATACTTGTAAATCATTCCACGAGGTACCATTCCGTATTCCAACAAATGACGCAAAAGCTATCCCACAAATGAAATTGTCTCATTTAAATTTCTACTATTGATCTTGTCAACAGGGGATGGAGTTGACAGAGCTGCAGTGAACATCCTTCATTCATGTTGTTTGTGCAAGAAGCTGTTTGAATGCTTATTCTTTAAGTCATGGTTGTTATGTAAGTTGTGACCTTGACCTTGAAGGTAAGCTTATGATCTGTCTGAAAGATTACTTATAAATGAATACACTGCAGAACTTCAGATGTGTTACTGTGTATACAAGATAATCATTTCCAGCCATAGGACAGACGTCACAAAGTCATGATGTTTATGTTAGATTTCAAAATGATACCGGCAGAAGTGACTGAGCAAAGGGTAAAACTGACATTTTAAATATGATGGCAAGACATTATGTAAGCACAGTTAGAGAAACCTTTGATGGGATCAAACACACAAATGATCAGCCTCATGACTGATGAATATCATCAAAACAGACAGAGAACACCCTCAAGAATACTTATGCCCAATGTAATAAAGATTTCAAACTCATAACCAATAACTGATATGCCAGCCAGCCATGTCAAAATCATCAAATGTATTGAATATAATTCTCTGTACTTTTTCCATGGTTGAACCTGGTAACATGGGTAATCACAACTTTGGTAACATGGGTAATCACAAGTTTGGTAACATGGGTAATCACAACTTTACTACCATGGTGAGCGAAAACTCCACAGACTGGCGAGTCCCATACATTAAAACATCCCTAGAACTAGAAACCATGGCGGAATGGTTAGTCAGGATATGATGTTGCTGTAGTCGAGCTCGTATGACCTGCGATCGACAACAGTGACCTTAGTTAATGCATAAAGTCGCCCGTCAGGCCTTATCAGAATATTGAAAAGACTACTTGTACACAATCAGTCGGGACCAATGAAGATCCGGGGTAGAATAGGTCTTCAGCAACCCATGCTTGCCACAAAAGGCGACTATGCTTGTTGTAAGAGGCGACTAACGGGGTTGGGTGGTCAGGCTCGCTGACTTGGTTGACAAATGGCATCGGTTCCCAATTGTGAAGATCGATGCTTATGCTGTTGATCACAGGATTGTCTGGTCCAGACTCAATTATTTACAGAATGCCGCCATATAGCTGGAATATTGCTGAGTGCGGCATAAAACTAAACTCACAATCATTCGGTCACATCAAGATCTCGGTTGTACGTTTAAAAGGCATCAACAAAATGTCATATGAACAAAGATGAAAAGGTATTCTTGATTGTTGACATACAGTAAGCTGTAAAAGAAAGCATCATAACTTCCTCACTGGCATAGTTTACAGCTGATAGAGTGACAACTCCTGGCGATATTTCTTTTATTGGTGATCCGACCCCTTTCTGCAAACAGAGCGATGTCAACTTCAGCTGGTCAGTTGTCACCTGTCATGCCTTCAGCAGGTACAGCAAACTAAATTTAATTTCTTTCTTCACCAGTACTGTTCACTGAAATTTCGTATTCAGTTGAAGAAGATCCTGAAAATAATTTGCAGACATGTCAATCTAGATGGATGCCTCATCTTCTTATTATGGCATCTGAAGGGTACTTCTGCAGCACTTGCCTTGGAAGGATTTTTCTTAAGAAAGGGAGCATTCTATCCTTCTATAAATGTCTTTCTTGCTCTTCTCAACACAAATTGCTCTTTGGAAACAGATTTTATCTTCCTTTGCATGAGTGACCACAACAAACACAACTGACTTTGAAAACTGTTGTGTCATTGGAGTACATCCTGTTTCACTGCTTTTCCTGACTTTCGTTCAGTAGTGAGGTTCCTTGCAGCAGTCATATGGATTGCAAGTCAAATATACTTTGCAATGCTGGACTTGAAAGAAAGTCAAAGACCAAAGTTCCACCCCTTGTGCATGTTGTGAAGAAACCTTCATTAAGACCTCTGACAAAAATCATAAGAAATGGTTCAACTTCTATTTCCAGTAAGGATGCTCTTGAAAACTTGGCAGCAAGTTTGACTGACTACACAATTAGAGGTTATCTTGATTAATGCAGTGTATGGCAAGCAGAATTAGAAGTAAAAATAACAAGATAATGCGATAAAACATAAGTAACAGATTTGCAGTGAGTTTACTGTCAGGTGTCATCATCACTCGACGTTAATGTCAAAACAACACAAGACTTTCTTGTAAATAAGTCTCTATAATCTCCAAGCTTCACAACCAATGTGGAAATGGACTGTAAATTTTGTTAACTCTGAATCAACGGTTTGATACAAGTCTGATCTCAATATGCATAAGCCATGTCCTGCTGTCAAAACAGGTGACAACTATCTTGCTAAATTGAGGCGCTGACAAAGATTCTTGCTGTTTGCTCAAGACGTTGGTAAGAATAGATGAAAGGCACTTTTAATATGACATGTTCATGTGCAGGATGTGTGTTATGGTAACCTCTGTTTGTAACATGTGGCAAGTCGAACAACAAGTGTCTTCCATTGAAACAGATCATTATACCAACCTTATTATGATCTTAACATATGTATTTTTCACAAAAATGTCAGAATTATTCATGTGAATGCGTTTATCATACATTGACATTCCTCTGAGAGACCAAAGAGATAGCACCACATGTGCTGTATACATCTGTGTTGTGTCTGCACTGTTGATATTTTCACAACACACTAAAACAAAGTCTTGAAAATTATTTCGGATGTTCTTAATTAAGACTGTTACTAAAAATGTGTGTCTTTTGTTTAATATCATGTGAACATCATCGTCTGCAATCAGGGTTTAATCTGAACCTTCTCAGAGGCTGACATACAGACCAAGTCTGCCGGAAAAGCCAGTTCAAAATTTTGAATTGATAGTGATTGCTGCCAGAATATCCCCCCCCCACAATGGTATGGATTCACTGATAAAATAACCATTTAGGAAAAATACTCTATAATCCTTATGCTTACATTATTGCATCCAGTGTTTGCCTTAGGAATATAAATTTAGAGGTCATCACGACTCCCTGGTGTCATGAGAGGGAGCCATGGACATGTTTTGGGGAGTCAACTTCAGTTTGGAACTTTCCTTCATCAAGACATCAATGGTGATTGTTTAATAACGACAAAAAAACAAGTTACGGTAGGTCAGGTATTTAATCAGCACTGAGCAGTTAACTGGCAAACATATAGTTTCAGAAGTTTAGATTATCTGAACTAGGGGCCCAGTAGCATTGCGTCAACAATGACGCAAGCTTCTAAATTCACTGCGTATTTGAGATAATTTGTGCATCAAATACGTAGGTTTTCTGTGTCTGGGCAAACACTGTGCATCTGGTACAATGTTAAAAAAAACTTCATTGTTGAACAAAATATACATTCTTCTGGATGTATCTTTCAAGGACATATTGTTTGGAATCTTAAATAAATCCAGTGCAATATTCCAGCAGCAGGACAACTCCATCAAGCATGTACCAGTACCCTTGACTAATACTTGGTCTCAGACAATATTTCATTTTGACAGAAATAAAATTTGACTACATGTAAACTAAATAGGAGCCATGGTCAGATGCTGTTTCAGAACCAGAAGAAAATTTTGACTTATTTCATATTGGGCTGTGGCATTACGAAAGTGTTTGGAGGATGAGGAAAAAATGGTTCAGATGATAAGAGCACTGGTTTTGTTCACTTGGGACCAATATTATTAACACAGTATCCCTACACAGGCTCAAACGAATGGTTTTTAGTATTTCTGTTACTTCAGTTGAAAATTTTAAATTGCATTTTCTTTAAAACCAGCTTTCAATCAACAAAATGTAGCAGATCAATGGTTTCATGGGAGATCTATTGATCATGGAATGTGTGTTTTGGTAAACAGAAATCATTGTCCACATTATTATGTATACACCAATATTCATACCATATACTTCATCATACCCAAGGACATAATAGACGTGTGGGAATATTTTATTGATCTGTCCAATGATTTGGGAGAGCCACACGAGAAGCACGGGAAGGATGACCGACCAATAACGGACAAAGGCTAATAAGTTCAGTTGGTGCAAATAAGACCAATGTCATGGTGAGCTAAAACTCGGACTGGCGAATCCCATACATTAAACCATCCCTAGAAACCACGACTGAATGAACGGGTTTCGACTGGTAGTCAGGATATGATGTCACTGTAGTCGAGCTCGTATGACCTGCGATCGGCAAGTGACCATAGTTAACGCCCGAAGTCGCCCGGCAGGCCTTATCAGAATATTGAAAAGACTACCTGTATAATAAACAGCCGACCACATCAAGATCACGGCAAAACATTACATGTTTCTGAAAATAACATTTGTGACAATAATACTATATTTGAACTAAACTGGTCACGAAGATAGCTGAGCATACTTACATTTCACAGAAGACAATACATCACCAGTGACCTCATCAGTCTGAATGCTTTGCATTGCAAGGTTTCGGTCAAAAGTAGCCCACAGCCAAAACGGCTGTACGATACCTTTAAAACGGCCACGAGAATTTTTGTTCAAACAACCAGTGTTTGCGTCAGCACTGTAAAAGAGAAGTTAATGCTACTGCAGTAGCAAAACACTTTGCTATATTTCTTTAGGTAGACACATCTTCACACGTACACGACTGATTGACTAAACGTGAAAGTTCAGAATAAACTACACGGGCCGTTTTGACAAGCCAATAGTCGAAAGTAGCGTATTAACAATATCGAAATAACACGGTACAGTACCAAAAGGTAAACAATCACAATGGCCATATAATAAACGCCTAATGATAGAACAAGCATATATTACAAAACAAGCATAGATCTACTCTATCCTTGTTTCTTGGGATTTGGTTTCAGGTTCAAGACCATTATTTGTTTCCTTCCATCCATTATATTTTGTAAATCTTATATTACTTGTCACGAAATCGATCAGTTTTCAATTTTCCCCTTTCTATCTGCTTCGACCATTTGCTGATAAGATTATTCAGTTCATACCCAATTCTACCATAACTTGGTTTAAAACTTTGGACGAAAGACGCCATATTGACGACGTAATGAGTCGTGACGCTGTTCAAATTACCCCCCTCGTGATTAAACATCACTGACATCCCTCTGTCAGGCAAGATGACATATCCATATCAATGTTGAAATGTTACCTTGAAATTTGTCTAATAATCCTTACCTTGGAAGAAATATGAAAAGAAGACGTTATCCAACGCCGCGGCGTTGTACCAAACATTCGAATCCCCGCGTCCGCGTCATTATGCACGAGCGACAAACTTGTCCCAGGCAGGCGTTGGCTCTCTGAGAACTTTGGCTGCCTCTGTTCACTGGCATGAACAATCCTTGAATAGTTTCATTACCACATCTACGCCTGTTGATCAACGTCTAGTCTGTCTCACAGTCCCTGAACCATATTAATTTCCCTACTGCCAAGCCCTCTCTGCAGTGCTAAAGCCCTAAATAAAGCAAGTCTAGATTTCCTCAGGTTCAGGGTCTGTTAACATCTGCAAGAAAACTAACTCACTTTGGGGGTCGGATTACAAAGTAAACATATCTAACTACCATGGCTGGCTGGACCAACATCCTCACCAGTGGTCTGGAATCTTGCCTCACATTTTCATCTGTCAACTCTTTATTAACAAGCACATTGGGTGACATGAAGCTATAGTGGAGGCCTTGTGCACAGTTTCTGGTCTTGAAGAGACAAATCAAGCAAAATCTTGGGGAAAGGTTCCTCCTGAATGTTATGTTGTAAAAAGTATTGTTTCATTGTCTGACTTGGGTCCACACATAGCAGCCCAATTGTAAATGCGGTTAAGGATTTAATTGTAATTAAAACAAGGGTTATTTTTCTTATTCCTCATATAAGATTATTGTGTGAAACTCTGGTTGTGTTTTGAGTATCTCTTTTTATCTAATTGCTCGACAGTAAAACATATGGCAGGGACCTAGCACTCATGAAGAGTGAGTGAGTGAGTTTGTGTTTACACCGCATTCAGTAATATTCCATATATGGCGGCGGTCTGTAAATAAGTCGAGTCTGGACCAGACAATCCAGTGGTCAACAGCATGAGCATCTACGCAATTGGGATACGATGACATGTGTCAACCAAGTCAGCAAGCCTGACCACCCGACCCCGTTAGTCGCCTTCTCGTGAAGAACCAAATTCAAAAGGCACAGCATCTCGGAATTAAATCTGTTTACCTTCGTGATGTGATTGAGGCATGCAAGGTGAAATCTAGTGAGGAAGATCTAGTATCTAGAAATACCCAGAACATCTTCAAGCGTAAGACAGACGCTGGCCTTTTCACTTCCATTGAACAGTTTGTTTTAAAAAGGTGGTTATCTATATCCTCTTCGCATATTATACAAATGGAAACTTTTGAATTTGGAGATAAGTTCAAATTCATAAATAATTTTGTTGGTGTTCCAGACAGATCTTGCACCTTGGTCATCTAATGTCCAAGTGACATTGTGGGCTGCAAGTTTCCCAACAGTAAAATGTTAGGCAGTAGGGGCACTTGACCGGACCACATGAGGTGATGACAGCATGGAGATAGGACAGGGCTTAACAGGAGGGCCAATAAATATGCCTTTCACTTATAGCGTTATCTGATGGTTGTATGATGTGACTTCTCATTGGTAATGACCCCAGCACGTGTAGCCCCAATGCAGATGTTCTTAGTCTCTGAATCTCTGGTCTCCATAGGGCTCCTTTTCAATATAAATGGGCTTGTTTGTTACTATCAAAATTATATATATTCAGAGACTAAGCCTTAGTCTAATCAACGTCATACATTGAGCGACACCCTTGTCTAACAAATCGACAGCTGTTGCTTTTCCTTCGCCATGTTTGCCCACACCGACGCCATATAACGTCCCAGGTCGCCGACAACGTCTGTTACGGTAGATCATATTATGCAATTAACTACGTATGTAGGCTATTTCAAGGCATCTAGTTGCGGAATTCAGCTGCTATTAGCGTTGGAAACAAAGTTGCAACTGAAAGCACCTCGATATGACCAGCGTCGCCGAACATTTGCTGTCTTACTCTAAGCTGGTTCCCACTTCTCTGTGTGCGCCTATATTTTGGGCTATTTTGATGTTGGAGACGGGACCAAGCTTATGTCAACACGGCGCCCATAATGCACTGAGTTAGTGAAGCGCAAGCGCAGCGTACCCAGAATCCCAGGCTCAGCGACACCAAACGGATGATTCGGGAACCGGTCTAATCAAAGTCACACTCTTTCGCCAGATATAATAAAATAACTTCGACATGATTTTTTTTCTTTTATTGTCACATATAATATATTACTGTACACCATTGTACAAACATTACTGAGGGCCATGGACATCATAGCACATGATTAGCATTTGGCAGAGTTTTGTTGTTGTATGTGAATTCACAATTAAAGTCATTTCAGGTCTTGCATACTTGAAACTCTTATGCGTTTGATTCTGAAGGATGGTATATGCTATTTTATTCACAAAACATGCAAGGTTAACGTTCCTTCACGTTTGGACGCCTTTGGTAACTAAATCTTGAAGTTTAGAATCGTCTGTATGCACAGAATCAATAGAGTCAGTTCTCATTTTAAAATATGTAGAAGGCAGTTAAATACTGTCTATGTCAAGGTAGGGTAGCATAGTGGTTTAAGTGTTCGCTCGTCACGTCGAAGACCCGGGTTCAGGCGCGTAGCAAGCCAATTTTTTCGTGTAAGCCCGATAGGTTACAAAGCGTCATATTTAGATAGTATTGAGGGCTTACCCAGCCTTTTTAGCAACAATCATATGTAAGCCCGGGCTTTTTTTTTATTATGGTAGCTTCGCTCCTGTGGTTCGAATGTGTGAAGCCCCATGCTGGAATTTTGCTAAAAGTGGCCTAAAAATGAACGTGTTCGATGCCAGATGTTTTTGTATCAGCCTAACATTGTGAAATATACTCAGCGTTTCGGGATGGCATAGCTTGTGTTCGTTTCTCAGCTGGATATACATGTTTGTTTCAGGTCTTTCGCATAATCCTAAAGTTTCATTGGTCAGTTTAGATCGTACACGTGACATCTATATTTTCAAGATGTGCAAGGTTCTTTTTTTAAAGAAACAAAATTTATCCCATTGAGTTACTTAACAATGAAAATCAATGAAGTATTATCCTGAACAAAGTAAGTTGTTTTCATACAGGGTCTTCTGGCCAAGATATCGGTGTATTAAGGTGTATTAACACCTACTTTGGTGTTTTAAGAATGTGAAGGAAACTGCAATGTCGCAAAAATAATAGTACTCGTATTTGCTGTATAACAAATTAAGTAACTGCACATACACATTTACCTAAATGTTTTTGGTTTTATTATAGCAAAGGAATTATTTCAGGTGAACAAATGACAAGACTTAGCATATGTTTATGACGGGTGCCATCGGTGGGCAGGATACGCTCACCTTGGGGCGAACACCTGATATCATCACTATTTCATACAGTGATTCATAAACACATGCTCTGTCGTCGTATCACATGGTGACAATCACTGGATTGTCTAATTCAGACCCGATTTGTTTACAAACAACATCATACAGATGTAATACTGCTGAAACAAATACCTGCACTGTTGTACAATCGACTCTGCTTTTGGCAGAGACGTCTTAGGGCGTCCGTATTTAACTCTGTGTTTCTCATCGCCTGAGCTGTTCCAACAACAGTGAAAATTAAAAAAAGGCACACAAAAAATAAATACTATTCAATATTCAAATATGAATGTATACTCAACAATGCATTGGGAATCGCGGCAAAGACAATAAAGGTTTGCCCCTAAACTCCCTACCAGTGTGTATGTTCACTGGTAGAGAACTTGGTTACAGTGAGGGTGGAGTCTTTGTGATGTTTGCGACAGAAACTTTATGATTTCTGACAGAGTCTTTGTGATTTGTCACAGAGTCTTTGCAATGATATGTGTTATAATAAGATTAAATGGTAATTATAGCTTTAGTTTGTGGTATTAAAGACTATAATTTTCCTAATCAACACATAATATCATTTTGCAACTTTATCATTTACTTAAATAAATATAGCAATAGCATAGATATTGTTATCATAATTTGCAATGAAAGTCATGTTGATGATAAAGATGAGTAAAACATCAAGATTATCAACCCTCGGAGAACTAAATATTCATAACGAATTATTTCAGTCACCCAAATGAACAAGTCAGTAGATAAGATGATTTCTCAAGGGAAATTTTGTGTGCATCATGTACAGTTCTCCAGTCTATATAACATTTTAACGAGTACCTGCAAGTGATTGCAAGTCACAATATCATTACCTCTTGAAATGGAACCCATACAAATAGATAGTACAAAGCCCCATTCACAATGCTTAACTCACATAGTCTGTATAAAACAATTATTTTCAGAAGAAGACAATTTAGTCAACATACATGATTGCGATGATGATTGTGATCTACACACTGTTGTAGATGATAATTATTGATGACTATCGGTCAATCATA